TTTTTAGGAGATTAATTGGGGTAAAACCAGATTTTGATCAGTTTAGAAAAGTTAGAGTTCACGCTAGGGCTTGACGAAAAGAGAAAAGAGGAGAAAGGAGAAGAGGAAGCAAGATTCGTCGACTTTGATGTTTTATTCTGTTTGGAGACTAAAAAGAACCTTTTTAGTTTTGTACTCTGTGTGAAATTTGATTTTGACTGATTTTTGTAGACTAAAAACTTTTGTAGTTTCCTACTATGGATAAATTAGACTTTGCAATTGGTTTGAAGAATATGAAAACTTCACCTTATAAGTCAGTGTTGTACTTTTGGTTTTCTATTAACTTCATTGTTAACTAGAAATAAATTGTACAATTTTTTTTTGTCTTTGTTGTTATTATTCTAGATATTAAGTGATATGTCTAATTGTGATAGAAAAAAAGGCCACCGACCTAAAGATTGTAATTTTTTGCTTGCAATAGGTGCCTCTAGGAATGAACTTTGACATTGTGTAAAGATTTTCAAAGGGAATTGAAGCACTGTAATTCTTTTGTGGAATAATATTTCTAAAAGAGGTTTCATATTGCCAATGACATTTTGATAGTATGAGAAAAAATATGTTGACAAACTATTTCAAATACTCGAAAAATATTTTGTGGTGGTTATAAAAAGTATCTCATACTCGAAAAATAGTTTTATTTTAATAGACATATCTTTTCTCAAAAATTCATGTACTTATAAACACATATAAAAAATTGAGAAAATACTGAATTCCTATTTCCAGACCCTTAAACGCTAAAAACAGTGGTGTGAATCCTACAGAAGATATATGCATGGTTAACTAGATCATTAAGGATGGTCCCAGAAAAATAAGGTAAAAAAGATAGTTGGTTAGTCACATTCCCAAATATACATGGACTAATACACATTAAAATATTTGAGAAATGTTGAATTTATATTTTGCCATCATAAATGCTATAAAAAGTCATGTGTATCCTTTAGAAGATATGTATATGGTTCACTAAATCATTATGGGTGCTCCTAAAAATCTTTGGGCCAAACAGATTCTGCCAGTCATAATCGGGAATCTTTGGTGACCCCTAAACTCTAAAAAGTTAGTGTGGATCTTGTAGAGGCTATAGGTATGGCTCACTTGGCCCATAAAAATGGTCCTAAAAAAATTGAGGCCAAACAGTGTTGGTTAGTCCTATTTTAAGAAATTTACGGATTAATACACATAAAAAACTGCGAAAATCCTTAATTCCTATTACGTGACCCATAAATGCCTAAAAGGTGGAGTGAATCTTGTATGATTATGGGTATGGTTCTCTAGGTTATTACGAATGCTCCAAAAATAATATGGACTAAATAAATCAGGTCAGTAATGTTCTTACAAAGTCATGAACTAATTCACACGAGAAACTAATAATATTCCTTATTTCGTGACTCTTAATTGCTAAAAACTTTGTGATAATCTTTAGACTATAGGTATGATTCACAAAGTCATTTTGTGACCCCAAAATGATAAAAAGAGTGACATGATCATGTAGAGGCTATGAGTATGATTTACTAGTTAAGTACGGATGATCATAAATTTAGGAAAACAAAGCAAGTTAGTCATAAGTCCAAAAATTTATATTAATACACACGAAAAATTGAGAAAATTATGAATTCATATTTAGTGACCCCTAAAATCTAAAATAAAAGAAAATAGATCATGTAAAGACTATAAATATGGTTCAATAGATCATTATGGATGACCCCAAAAAAATTAGGCCAAATAGATATGGTTAGTCATATTACCAAAAATACATGCATTTAATAAACAAAAAAAAAAGAGAAAATTTTGAATTCTTGTTCGTGACTCTTAAAGTCCAAGAAAAAGTGATGAAAATCCTTTATAGGCTATAGGTATGGTTTACAAGGACATTAGAGATTGTCCAAAAAAAATTGGCCAAATAGAGTTGGTTAATATTATTCTCAAAAATTCATGTAATAATAAACACATATAAAAGGTTGAGAAAATACTAGATTTCTATTTTGAGACCCCTAAACGCTAAAAACGGTGGCATGGATCCGATAGAGGATATAGGTCTGGTTAACTAGATCATTAAGGATGGTCCCAGACAAATTAGGCAAAAGACAGTTGGTTAGTTACATTCTCAAATAAACATGAACTAATACATATGATTTTTTTTTGACAAATATTAAATTTATATTTCAATACAATAAATCATATAAAAAGTCATGTGGATCCTTTCGAGGATATGCATATGGTTCACTAAATCATTATGGGTGGTCCTAAAAATCTTTGGGCCAAACAGATTAAGCCGATCATATTCCCGAATCTTTTGTTACCCCTATACTTAAAGAAATTACTGTGCATCTTGTACAGGCTATAGGTATGGCTCACTTGGCCCATACAAATGGTCCTAAAAAATTGAGGCCAAACAGAGTTGGTTAGTCATATTTTTTTTTAAAAAATCATGAATTAATATACATAAAAAACTACAAAGTCCTTAATTCCTATTGCGTGACCCAAAAATGCCCAAAAGGTGGCGTGAATCTTGTATGATTATTGGTATGGTTCACTAGGTTATGACGGATGCTCCAAAAATAATATGGGCTAAATAAATCAGGCCAATAATGTTCCCAAAACTCATGGACTTTCACACGAGAAATTGAGAAAATTTCTTATTTCGTGACTCTTAAATGCTAAAAACTTTATGTGGATAATCTTTAGGCAAATTGTATGATTCCCAAAGTCATTACATACGGTCCTAAAATATTTTGAGCCAAACACATTCAATTAGTTACATTCCTAAAAATTCATGAACAAATACACACAAAGAAAAATATAAAATCTTGTGTAGGTTTACCACAATTACAATAAATTAGAGTTGAAAATAAGATAAAATAACTTTTAAAAATATATTCAAGCTGAGGTGCGGATATCTCGCTCTCTTAAAGGAGATTCAAGCCCACATCGGTATAATCTACACCGATCCAGCAGTGTTTCTCTTGACTTATCCCCTCCAAGATATAATAGCCCAACGACAAAGTAAAAACTCAAATAACTCTGGATTAGTTGAAAAGTTCAAAGCTCCACAAAAAAAGAACACATTCTTTCAACATATAATTACTCTCCTTTGTATAGTGAATTAGTTGAAGACTCAGAATATTTTCTTTGTCTCAACTCTTTCTTTCATTACACTAATCTCACTAAAAACACAATATAATACTTTTCATCTTTCTTCATTCTATATTTCTTGCATATTTCTTAATACTCAAAACAAAGTAAGACCATCACTATTTATAAAGACTAAGAAAATTCAGAAATATGATTTCATCACCTCTAAATTAAAAAAAAGGAACATGGATCTTATAGAGATATTGAATATGGTTCACTAGGTCAATATGAATGGTCCAAAAATAATTAGATAAAAAAGTGTCGGCCAGTCACATTTTAAAAAATTCATGTACTAGACACACACGATAAATTGAGCAAATCCTAAATTCATGTTCAGTAATCAGTAAATGCTAAAACAATTGGTGTGAACTAGGGGTGTCAAATGGGAGGGTTGGGTTGAAATTGGAGATATTAAAATGGGTTGAGATAGAAATTTTGTTGGGTCTTGATCCACCCAAGTTTACTTTGGGCTCAAATAGGTTGGGTTCAAATGGGCTAAAAAACGGGTTGGGTCTTGACCCGCCCAATTGACCCAGTTAATCTCAATAATTTTAACATAGTAATATTAACTTTTATAATCACAATTCGAATTTCCGCTCAAGATTTTTTTAAAAAAAGTAACAAATGGATAGATAAATCCTAAAGATGTTAAATAGATAAAAATTCATACCTTTAATATAGGAACATATCTTAGTAAAGAGTTTTAAACGGGTGAAATTGGAGATTGAATTGATCTCAATTGAGGATTCTCTTAAAATGGGTTAGGCTTGAATGAGTTGAGATTGAACCCAATTCAAATTATCTTGAGCCCAACCCTTAAAATTCTGGACAGATTGGACAGGTTACCTATGTTTGGGTTCATTTTTGACACCCCTAGTGTGAACCATAGAGAGGCTATATGTAAGGTTTACCAAGTCATTAGGTATGATCCTAAAAAAATTGAGGCCAAAAAGTGTTGGCCAGTCATATTTCCAAAAATACATGGGCTTATACATATGAAAAAATGACAAATCCTGAATTCCTGCTTTATCACCCCTAAATGCTATAAAAATATTACGAATCCTCTAGATGCTGCAGATTTGGTTTACAATAGTCATTAGGTATGATCCTACAAAATTTGAGGCCAAACAGAGCTGATCAGTCATATTTCACAAAATACATTGGCTTATACATATGGAAAAATGAAAAAATCCTGAATTCCTGTTTTATCACCCCTAAATGCTATAAAAAAAATATTACGGATCCTCTAGATGCTAAGGATATGGCTTACAATATCACTACGGATGGTCCAAAAACAAATTGGGCCTAATGGAACCGGTTATTAATACCCATAAAAACTACGCACAATAAATTAAGAAAATTCTGATTTTTTGCAATATCACTTCTAAACACTCAAAATAGAGGTGTGGATCCTGTAGAGGGTAAAGGTATCATTTACTAGCTAATTACGAATGGTTCTGAAAAAATTGAGGTAAAAAAGAGTTATCATTCATATTCCAAAAAAGACATGAAATAATATATACAAAAACTGAAAAAGTCATGAATTCTTGTTTTGTGATCCATAAATAACAATACGGAATTTGGCATAAATCTTGTATGAATACAAGTATGGTTCACGAGGTTATTACGAACGGTCCTATAATAATTTGGACCAATGGGGTTAGTAATATTCCCAAAAAGTCAAGGACTATAACATGTGATATAAAGATGGTTGATAATATTTTCTACTAGCTACCTTTTTACAAAATATTAAAATCTATATAAAGACTACAAGTAATATTTTCTCACCATTTTCTTTTCACAACTTATTGGTATTTTGAGGAGAAGAAAATATGGGCGTGAAAGGAAAGTTGATTGCTTCAAAGGAGGTGAAGTGTGGAGAACACTTGATTCATGACCTTTTTCTCACTAATTCTCATCATATACCCTACATAAGTCCTAGTAAGATCAACCGTATTGATATTAATGAAGGTGAAATAGGAAAAATTGGTACGATTATGAACTGTAGATATAATGAAGGTATAACTGATAACATACATTTCTCTCCTCTATCTATGTATATGATTTGTATTTCATTAATTTTGTAAATTTAGGTGTATTTGGTAGTACGAAAGTTAAACTTTAGTAAATAATCTTCATAATTATTTTTATGGTGTTTGATGACCATAGGTATATTTTACTTAAATCCTTTTTCATCAAAAAAGGAAAATAATTTCCTTTCACTTGTGGACAGAAGTAATTTCTCCAATAAAAGTTATATTAACTTTCAAATTTGATTTATTTGCTCCTACTAATAGCTAGTCTTTACATACATATATTTAGTACTTAAAGGGTTTTATGAATTTATTTGGTTAATTAACACTATTATTTATATCTAAAATAGTGTATGCTTTCTGTAATATATATTTGTAACCACTCAAATATTTTTTCAGATATTACTTTTTCTGCGGAAAATAACTTTTGTCACCCAAACATAATACGATAAAAATTATAGTTCCCTTATTGATTCTCATGTTTTCCACAATGTCAACTCTACTTATGATATTCAGAAAAGGTAGACAATTAAATATTCATGAGCATCAGATATTTTTTGGAGAAACTGAAAAACTAGGAAAACAAAGAAAGAAAATAAAAAAATATATTAAAAATGTTTAAATCTTTCATGAGGAATTGGATAGTTGAACTAGGAGTAACATCTATTGTATTTTCTGTTTTTAATGTTTACAGATGGTCAAGAAAAGATTGTTAAGTATGTAATTGAAGCCATCGATCATCACAAGAACTCGATCAGTCGGAAAGTGATTGAGGGAGATTTGTTAGAGTTTTACAGTTCCTTTACATTTGTATCATCTTGTCAACATCAATGGGCTACATGGACAATTGAGTATGAAAAGAAAAATGAAGACACCCCAGAGCCCCTCATTTTTTTAGGTTTTATTCTTGACATGACCAAGGATATAGAAGCTCACCTTCTAAAGAAATAGAATCTATGTTGTTCTATATTATATATAATACAAATAAATAAGCGTGTGTGTGTCTAGACACATGTAAAATAAATAAATCTCCTTATATGGATGCATTTCCAGTGATCAGTATATGTAAGATAGTATGCATTTTGTTATAATAATCCAAGCCCTTTTTTAAAACAAATTCTAAAGCTTTAAATTATGCTTTGAAATCTTATATTTGTTAGCAATATTTTTGTGGACTTGTTAGCATAATTTGAATGGGGAATCAAAGGATTCATGTGATTTTTGACACTATATTGGAACTTTGTTGTCACATCCAAAAGGCTAGAAGCCGTGAGGGCACATACACCTAAGGCTGATAGGTGAACCCTAAGAAGTTTTAAGATTTCAACAATCACATCGAACTCAACTAACACACAGATCAATATCTATACTCAAAAGGTAGGAGAAAGTATTGTTGTCACGACCCAATCCACCGGCCCATGCGGGGCTACTCTAACATCTAGATAGGAGAATCCTTACCACCCAATTCAAAAAGAGCAATGCAGAAATTAATAAAATATAAGAAATGTCTTTAATACTTTGGAATAAACATGAAACTCACATATAAGAACAATCTTTTTACAATTAACCGAAAAACTCTCCCAAGAAACTAGTCTAAATAGATACAGGAGCTACTAAGAGTCTTCCCTGTAGGCCATCAGGGTGTTCCAGACACTTAAGAATTCATGAATTTTTGGGATAAATCCACCTGAGTTCACAGGGCCAAAGCTTAATGAGTATAATCTAGGACGCTTTGTGGATGAGGTTCAAAAGATATTGCAGGTAATGTATGTTGGTGATGGAGAGAGTGTTAAGCTGGCTTCGCATCACTTTAAGGATGTTGCAAGGCTTTCATATGATCAGTGGAAGAAGACTAGGGGTGAGAATGAACCACTCCTAAGTTGGGCTATGTTTGAAGATGCTTTCATGGGGTGTTTCTTTCCTCGAGAGTTAAGGAAGGCTTAAGATAAGAGATTAATTCCAAACCTGAAACAAGATTCTTGTCACGACCCGAGCCTACACCTTAGATGTGACCGAAACTCGAGACCCACTGCTGGTCCCCAAGCGAACCCTCATCCTTGCTGACTACAAGCGGAAAACTAACTCAAGCATACATAACCATCAAATTGAAAGAAACATTTAAAAATAGTTTATTCATTCTCAAAACTTCGCTGAATATACTGAGTATGAAACATAAGTTTTAAATAAAATATCTGAAACTGAAAGACTCTCCAATACTGTCTATCTATGAAGCCTTTACTGTATAAAGATAGTGTCGGGACAAGACCCAAGACTCTTTAAAAAAACTACTACTAACAACTCATAAAACTAGAGTACTTCGAAAGTAAGGAGGTCTCACTCATAAGTTGACGAGTGGATGAAATGATCTCAATAGACTCTTGTTGAGGATCCTAAGAACCTGTATCTGCATCATTAAATGATGTAGGCCGAATGACATCAGTATATTGAATGTACGAGTATGTAATATAGTTGTATAACAAAAAAAACTGTAAGAAATGACTGAAATAGATAACAATGTACTCAAGCTGAATGTAAAGAAATAAAGGAGTAAAATCATTTAAAGCTTTACAAAATTCTTTCTCATCTCTGAACTCAACATAATAAGTTATTTATAAAAATATACTTTAACTCTATTGGGAGATTCTCTAACCGACAACCATCACTATGAGCTACGTGATGATACAGTGTCTCACCTACGCTGCCAGAACTATCATATACCTTGCCGGGGTATAGAACACCTCAACTAAGTGAATCCACAAAGTTATGCTTAAAATACAATAAAGAATCATCTAAAAAGTATGATCATTTACCCATGTTGGCAAGCATGGTTTATTGGGGCGTGAGTTTTCTGAACTCTTCCCCATATTGGTGCTCAATCCTACTCCCAATAATATACATACTCATGCTCAAATGTATAAAACATACTTTTTTCTGGTTTGAGATAATAGCTCAAACTATCCTCTTAAAAGATGTAACTACTCTTGAAATATCTTTTGAACTCATAACTCATTTAGCAATCTCAGTTTCTCTTTTATCAAAGTAAATATTGATACCTCTAGGAATACATAGTCGCCTTATACTCTTACTCAATTCAGAATTGAAACTCTTTCTAAAAATCATATCAAAATCATATTTTAATATGATCATTGATGACTCGAGAATTCATACTGCATAAACATTGATGGTATATCTAGATACAATACTGCTCATACATTGATGGAATACTCGATTGTCATATTAATCATGTTTTAGAAACTCTTTTCTCAAAACTCATCTTTAATTTCTCAAAATTCAGTTTAACAACTCAAGTGTTGGCTTTAAAAAGCTTTACAAAATTTATAACTCAAATCATAGGGTTCATGCGGAATTATGGATATGAACGACTCAACTCAAGAATTTTAATGCATACCATATAGCAATTCAATAATTAGGAGTAGAATTTCAAAAGAATCAAAAACTCAAGAACTCAAAATCAACTCATCGCAAGAATACTCAAATCTAGGGGGTAGAACCCTAGATTTCTCTTTTACTAATTTAAAAGTAGATGTAGGGCGTAAGGACGAACTAGTCCAACACGATGATTGCCTTGCATACCTGGAAGAACAAGGTTTTTGAAGAATCTTGGATAAGAACTGCATTAGAAGCCTTGAAACCCTAGTTTGAAGGGAAAAATCATGAAAACCTTTCTTGAGATTCTTGAAATATCTATGGTCAAGAATTATAATTTTCATTAGTGATTCATAATTGTATGGAGGAATTAAAGTTGGAAAGAATGAAATTCGTGGAGAAAGACTTACCTTGAAGAAGAATCTTGAAAAAGATGGAAAGAATCTTGAAAGAGATTGAAAGAATCTTGAATGGAGTCTTCTACTTTGATTTTTCCTTAGGGTTTTGACCTAGGGTTTGAGAGAAGAGAAGTAGGAATTAAAAAGATGGAAATAGGATTGTTTAGGGATTTATAGGAGCTAATAAATACGTTTTAAGGTTTTCCTAGTGGTATAAGGAGAAGAAAATTACCTTATTTAGATTATTCCCGCGGCTAAAACGAAACAACACTACATTATTTAGTAAAATGATCATAACTCTCTACTCCGAACAAGGAATGACCCAAACTTGGTGGCTTTGAAAAGATAATTCAAAGTCCTTTAATTTGATAGGTTATGGGCCACATAACTCTTTATATTCTATGAGATATGGTCGTTTGAAGTTGACCTAAGTAGAATCTTAGATCTAAACTTAATTGGTAAGAAAACTTTCAACTCAACTTTGTCCCACACTAAAGAATTTACTAGTGACCTTAATTGATATCAAAAATCATTCCCACTTTAAAGAATTACCTTTACACATATGGTGAATTTTAAGAATCTCTCGATATGACCCTACAAGTAAATGAAGAATTGTTTGAGTCTTAATTTAATTTTTTTTGGGGTGTTACAATATCTCCCCTTTGGGATCATTCGTCCTCGAATGACGGCTGAAATGAGAATGGAAAGGGGTTACTCTTACTTTATTCAAGTCTAACTCAGAATCACAAAGTACTTAACATAGGGTGATTATTCTGATCCAAATCACAAGATTCAGGTTCTATACTTCTGTAGGAAATCTCATCTCAAGAACACTACTCCTTACCGCTACATTCAGCTAACCTTAAGCTCATATCACGAAACACCTAATGTATCACGTATTGTCCACATGTTAACAACACCACATTCAGGCTTAGAACCTTAACCACTCTATAGACTCCTACTAAACCACTTTCTAAGAACTTCTCATCCTCTCATGCATTACCACCAGGAAGCTGACTTAGTACTCATTCTAAAATCTTATCTCTTTTTTCCTCCACATTCATAACCTTAGATGGAATAAACACGCAATCACTATCAGAGTAAGAAATAGCAATCCTCTCCTCCATCATCACACAACTACTATCAACAACACCACTCTCCAAAACTAAAATGGATAACTGAAAGGACTTTACGTCGAAAGATCATAAGCCTGATTCATTTGAGAATTCTAATATTAGAATATGCATGACATAACATTATGTTGCTAACCATTGAGAGCATTTCATGGATTTTTGAGACTGAACATATTGTGAGACATGTTTGCTTATATGTATAGGTTTATAACATGAGACTGATATCCACAACTTTATGGTTCAAGCTCGAGGTTAATGGGCTAAAGTCTTTGCCCCTCATTCTAGAAATTGTGCATAGATGTTAAGCTCGCTAAAGTGTATGAGCATAGGTTATAGACACAATTCTGATATTAGAAACGTCAACAAGATTTTGTAATAATTGAACTATGAGGAATACGCTAGAGTATGAATGGATTGATGTACCTCCTTAACTCTTTCTAAAGACATAACTATCTCATTCTCAACAATTGACTTGATTTCTCATCTTATCATCTCCCCCTTAAGTTTGAAACTAACACTTTAAAGCTATAGATCTATTCCATCATCTCTAAACTGGTCTACATTACCTTTACTCTAATAATCGGGAAAGGCGAATCTTGTGGCTACTAAACTTTCCGTAAGCAGGTACTAAGACTCATTCTAAGACCTCTTTCTAAGATGTTTTTATTATCCTTTTCTCATTGGCTTATAACGCCGCTTCATCTAACTCTTTAACAGGAAAATAATACTTACTTCAGCCTATTCCACATTGACAGTTCAATTATACTCTCTAGGCGTACATGGAAAATAATTAATTTAATTGGAATCTCGTCTAATTAGATAAAATCTCGGGTACACCTCTTAATGCTCTTGTTACTCTTATGACTTAGCCACACTTCACTACCTTTATTTAAAAGTTAGGATCTCTCACTTGTACCACTCATATTCATTGCAACTAACCTCTTAATTCCTCTCCTACTCTATGTCAAGTCTACCATATCAGATCTCAAGACTAGCATCATCACCCTCATATTGCCATTCTTTGGATCATGAC